CAGCCGCATGGGCCGCGCCGCCGCGAACCGGCGGGACAGGGCCGAGGGCACGCCGGGCCGTGCGCCGCGCGACAGTCAGGGGCGCTTCCACCTCATGACCCCGGCTGGTCGCCGGGTACCTTGCCGGGGGCGGAGCTCCGCGGCAATAACACGTGTGCTGATTGGCCGTCCGTCACCATGGTTCCCCGCCGGGGGCGGGGCCCGGCCTGCTAACCCGCCCTCTGATTGGTCAACGCCGGCGGTCGGTTGAGGTGTCGCAGCCGCCGGGGCGCGCGTGGGTCTCGGCCGTCCCCAGCGCGCATGCTCGCGAGCTGAGCGCGCCGGTCCGCTCCTGGGAGGCGCGTGCGGCCCGCGGGCGCGTGGACCTCCGGGAGCTGCGATCGGCGACGGCGGCTGCGGCGCCTTCGTGCTTCCCGGGCCTGTGTCCCCCCGGGTGTGGACGCGGGTCCAGCCTCCCCCGCAGGAGTGATGGTAATCGCGCTTCGGTGCACACCCGGAAGACGTGCACGCGGGCGTCTCCACCGCGGTGTGTTAGACCTCCGCCAGCTCACCCTGGCCTCGCCCGCCGCCCGAGCCCTTGCTGTGCGACTGGCTTCTGCCTCTCTTCGAATGGCAGTGAGAAGCGGTCTTACGTGTAGCCCTAAAATTCCTCCATAAATCCGGACGCGCAGGAGGGGCGCGGTAGCCGTCTGGCTGGTGTGGGAAGAGCCGCAGGCCCGGTCCTGCCGCGGGCCGACGAGTGTGCCTGGCTGCGACCCGCCCCGCCGCTTTCCCGCTCCCCCCGGGCGTCTCGCCCCGGCCCGCCCTCCAGCTCTGTGCCCTCCGGCGCTCCGATTGCCGCTCCCCGCGGCCCCGAGAGTCCTTCCCGCCCCGGCTGGAGTGGTGCATCTTCCCGAGCTGCTGCCCCGCACCGGGGCCTCGCAGTGATCGCGCGGGTTCCCTTCGTGCCTTTTTGAAGCGACCTTGGGAGCAGTTCCTCGTGGGGTAGAGAGGGGGGCGTCGCAGTACCAGTGGACTTATGTCCAGGAGTCTGATTTAGTCAGGGACGAACCAGATTAGGAGAAGAGCCCTCCAAGGACCACGGAGGCCGGAGGTGAGGGCGAGTGGCACCCGAGGGAAGCAGCACAGGGGGACACGCTTCGTCCAAAGAATGTGTTTGGTTGCCGCCTTAAAGCCTGCTGTGTGCTGCCCTAACACACCCTTGACATCTGAGGGTCTTTTATCATAAATTTAAACAGCTGCAGAAGGAGGTTCTTTTTTTTTTTAGAAGGAGGTTCTGATGGGCTATAAATACCATTTTGAAAGTAAAGTGGCAGCAAATGTCTGTTCTAAATGGACCAGCGGGTTGGAAGTATCATAGTGATTTCATACCCACTATGGTCCCTTTTAAAAATACTTCAGCCTTTTACCAGTTGGAAATTTTACATTGATCTTTTTTGTCCTTGAAAACACTTTCTAATTCCACTTCTACCATAATTCTTAGTGGACTGTGCCTTTGTACATCAAAATCTTTTATGGAGTAGAATACATCATTAGAGTTCTAACAGTTACTGTTTCTTCTGGATTGTGAGGTCCTTAGCATTACACAATCTAATTACTGTATATCACATCTAATTGGGTTGTAAGTAAAAAAATTTTGTTGGAAATGCATTTCTTAACAGTGCTTTACTTGAAAGAAATTGTCAGGTTATCTGTTAGTGTCCTTGGGCTGTTACCTCTTTCTGCCTCAACTCAGCACTGTACAGGCTGGTAAGATTTCGAGGGTCCCACAATCCAAAAATGGGCATCTGAGACGAATAAGCACATCTCAGATGAAGAAATACAAACAGCAAATAAATATATGACAAATGTTCAGCATCACTGATTATTTGAGAGATGCAAATTAAAACAACACTGAGATTCCATCTCACTCCCGAAAAAATGGCTGTCATCAAGAAATCAGCCAATAACAAATGCTGATGGGGCTGTGGGGAAAAAGGAACCCTTCGCAACCATTGGCGGGAGTGCAGACTGGTACAATCACTGTGGAAGTCAGAGTGGAGATTCCTCAAAAATCTAGGATTGGAGATCCCATCTGACCCAGCTATCACCCTTCTGGGTATCTTCCCAGAAGAATTAAAAACATTGTACCACAGTGATATGTGCACCAATGTTTATAGCACAACAATTTGTAATAGCTAGATCTTGGAAACAACCCAAATGCCCATCAACCAAGGAATGGATAAAAAAGATGTGATCATTTAATGCAGTGGAATACTACTTAGCCATGAAGAAGGATGAACTGGAGACTTTCATAGGTAAATGGATGCACCTTGAGACCATACTCATAAGTGAAATAAACCAGATGCACATGTGCAAATGTAGCGTTGTCTCCCTAGTGTGAGAAGCTAAAAGAGTAAATAAGATCCAAAATGTACAATAAATATTATAAAATGAGAAGAAACTTGAAAAAGAAAAAGAAATGGGGTGGAGGAAAGGAGAAAAGAAAGGAAAAGCAATATACACACACATACACACACACAAGATAGTTAAGATAGTTATACTACTAATTTTTCAGTTCATTGAAATGTTTGTGCTAATATTGCTTGGACAATTAAATGCCTATGTCTTATACTCTGAGTAACTAATTTAAAGATAACAATATGCAATATATTAACCATTGTTACCCTCCTATTATCTTGTTTTGAAATTTTTTTTATTGTTTTCCTCTTTAGTGAATTTTTTTTTCTGCTTTTTGCTTTTCTTCTGGTACCGGAAATCAAACTCACAACCTCACGCTTGCTAGGCAGGCGCTGTGCCGTTGAGCTAAATCTCCAGCCCCCATTTTTTTTTAATTTAAAGATGAAAAAATAGGGGCTGGGGATTTAGCTCAGCAGCACAGC